AGAAGCCCTTAGTGCGGGACCGTTTGCCGCCCGCCAACAGGTGTGCGCCCTCTTTCACGCCAACCTCTATGTATTTCATCACGTGATTGAAGTGATTGGCGTCGATCTGCGGGCAGTGTTTGGTTCGTTCGTCAAAGGGGTCGCCAATCGTCCAATTCTTGGCCAACTCGACCACCCGTAGGACAAACTTGTCATAGATATGCTCGTGAACGTAGACACGACCGGCCGAGCAGTTGTATTGACCGGCGTTTTCAAAGCAGGACTTATTCTGGTGGCAATTGATCATGGTTAATAAATCATTCACAGAAAACTCGATGCCAATTGATGGCTACTCACGGCATGCATGGCCGCCAACTCCATGTCCGCGTCCTCGCAGACCACAAGCGGTGAATTGCCGCCCAATTTCAGTGTCACTCGTTTCATGTTTGACTGTCCGGCCATCGTTTGGATCAGTTTTCCCACTTCTGTGGACCCGCTGAACGAAATGTGGTCGACGTCCATATGCGAGGCCAACGCCGCGCCAGCCGTGCGTCCGAAACCGGGCACCACATTGACCACACCCGGCGGGAAACCGGCCTCTTTGATCAGTTTGGCCAAATGCAACACGGACAATGTGGCCTACATAATACATACGTTATATATGGTTAAGACAATTTTTGTACATAGTAACTATTTGTCATTGGATTATATTATAATTACATGTTCGGACGGTTTGATGACTACTGTATTGCCGCAGGTCAGCGCTGACGATAGTTTAAGGCACGCGCTGTACAGCGAGACGGTAAACTATAATAGACAATGGTGTTTTGTGACAACATTATGTTCTGCCAAGCACATATTATTATGACAAACTCACCGGCAATATTAAGCCGCACACACCGATCGGTGCGAACCGGGTGTAAGCCATGAGTTTGCCATCAGTGGGAATGGTATTGCCCTGAATCTTGTCGGCCCAACCGGCGTAATAGCGCAGCACATCCACCGCCCAAAGGCACTGCTTTCGGGTCTGCTTGAAGTGTTTGCCGGTGTCTAAGCTTTCCAATGCGGCCAAATGGTCACAATCTCGCTCAACCAATTCGGCCAATTTGTACAACAGTTGGCCCCTATCCGACGCGTCAATGGTTCGCCACGTGTTGTCCTATTGGCAATCATATGAGGGTAATTTTAGGAGTTAGTATTAGGGTAATTTATGTTAGGTTACTGTATTTAATGTGGGGTATACTCACATATTTAAAGGCATGTCTGGCCGCCTGTACGGCCCGATCGATGTCGGGTTTGTCTCCCTCATAGATCTTACAGATCACTTCATCGGTGGTCGGGTTTTTTGACTCAAACTGTTTACCGCCCGAAGAGTTGACGAACTCGTTGTTAATGAAGAGCTGGTGGTTATGAAGTAAATGAATTAAATGGTTGTATTATTTACGGTGATTTTAAATACAGACCTGGGTATATTTGATCTCTGGATTGCGATGCATATTGACTGATCAAGTAGTTTGGCAACTGGTTTAAGCAGTTATAAGCAAATTAATTAGGCTTTGAAAGTAGAGTTTTAGCACAAATTACTGAATAGTTTGTGAAATTCTAGTGACTTATTGAATGGTTTGTGGCCACTATTTATACCGCAAATTTTGTCTCATATCTATTGGACTTTTGTTTTGTGAAAATTAGTTGTTTTTTGTTGCTTGATATGACATATTATAATCACGTACTTATTTATTTCTTGGTGCATATTTTCCACATCGATGTCAACCGATCGGCTGATATTTATTTTAATTAAATTTTTGGTTAGACATTTACACTAACATGCTATTTCTTACTTTACTTTATAAATATTCTGATAGTTATTATGTTTATTAGTGTTTTTGTGTATATTGTTAATAAATATCAGTGTATATTTAGCAGTCAATACATGTATGTTTTTACATTGATTATTTTGCGAATTATCAAACTACAACTATGTGAAAAATTAAAAAATAACTATGTTGCCTTGTTGTCTGAATTAGATTTTAACACGGTAAGTGTTGTAAATGTTATAATGATAATTTTAAAACGATATCGTGTTGTTTTTAATTGTCTAACTAAATATGTTTAGTCTTCAGAATTGTTATCAAATTATATTAATTTATTAATAGAAATAATGAATGAAAAATAATTTGTTTTTAAAAATTTTATTTAAAAAAAATAAAACATTTGATAAATATAGAGCCAAGGCCAATTGGGTTCTAAATAACCCAATATTAACTATCTTGATACCTTTGTATCCAAACGCATGTTTTTACATCAGTTGATATTTAGCATGGATACACCAACCATAAATTGTGTATGGTTAAATATAAAATAAGGTGTACGTGATCGTTATTATATTTACCCGTTGTTATCAGCTAACGAATAATTTTATAAAATTTAAACATTGAGATATTTATTAACAAATAATAAATCTTTAAAAATTAACAGTAATTTTGGTAAATATTTAGTTTACTATTTTTGACGTTTGAATCAAAATAACTTTTATTTATTTAACCTTTATTTATTAAACTTCAATTTTAAATGAAAAATTACACAACCAAGTTGTCAACAAATTTTTAAATAATAAATCAATCAATTATGAGTTCTTCGTAGCATTTTTGATAACAACCTGTTGAAACAAACATCGAGAATAAAATATAAAACAATAAACACGTGATAACAATTAAATACCGTTTTTACTTCGAGATACTCGTGAAGACCCTCTTCACCCAACTCTCTGCCCAAACCCGACTGTTTGTAACCACCAAACGGTGTTTGAGGTCTGAAAGCCAGAAAAGTGTTGATCCAAACGGATCCGGCCTCCAGGGCTTCAGTCAGCACAAGCGCCCGATCAATGTCTTTGGTGAAGGCACCGGCAGCCAAACCATAAGTGGTATGATTGCACCAATCGATCACTTCCTCGAGTGTCTTAAACTTGAAGATGGACTGCACGGGTCCGAAGATCTCCTCCTTTCCGATCCGCATGTCTTCCGACACATCACCGAAACTGTCGGTCAATTCAGACAAACAATGTTTAAATTATTGATTTTATAACGAGAATTAAATTTAAGACATTTGTCGTACACTGTGGGCTCAATGAAGTAACCCTTAGTACCCCAGCGTTTGCCGCCGACCAGCAGTTTTGCCCCCTCTTTACATCCGGACTCAATGAGTTCAAGCACTCTATCAAACTGTTTGTTGTCAATCTGTGGCCCGTGTTGTGTGTCGGCCGCGTACGGGTCGCCCACCACTCGCTTTTGGGCCAACTCTACCGCTTTGTGGACAAACTGATCATAAATGCTGTCCTGAACGTAGAGCCGAGTGGACGCACAACATGTCTGACCCTGATTTAAAAACACAGTCTCATGCTATCGATATACAAACAAAACAAACAGTGAATAATAAATAAAATGTAATTATAACTAAATACTGACGGCAACGGCGACGGCCTCATCGATGTCCGCGTCCTCGAAGATAATGAGCGGTGATTTGCCGCCCGTTTCCAGAGTCACGCGTTTCATATTGGACTTCCCGGTGGCGATTTGAATGAGTTTGCCCACCTCTGTCGAGCCCGTGAACGCTATTTTGTCCACATCCATGTGCTCAGTGAGTGCCGCACCGGCGGTGTGTCCATAACCGGGCACAACATTGACCACTCCGGGCGGAAAACCGGCCTCTTTAATGAGGGCTGCGATATACAGGGCGGTCAACGGTGTCTGATATACAGTGAGAATCAAATATAATTAATAATTATTGTAATAAAATTTATAATTTATGTACCGGTAATTAAACTTAATGTATTTATGCACATACTTGCTCTGCTGGCTTAATGACCAAGGTGTTACCGGTGGCCAAAGCTGGAGCCAATTTACCTGCTGTCAGGCCTATCGGGAAATTCCACTATTTATAATTAAAAAAGGACACAATTATTTTGTTTTTAACTCGTGGTAAAAACTATACATACGGCAATAATTTGTCCGCAAACACCTATCGGCTCGACTCGGGTGTAGGCAAAGTTGGGTCCGTCTGCGGGAACTACTTTGCCGTGCACTTTAACTGCATAACCCGCGTAATACGTTAACCACAATTGGGGTATTACTCA